CGAAGCTCGGCTTTTAAAGTTCGATTCTGGCTCCAACGTCCCCTTTCCTATCCGTTATCCGAAATACGCGCATCAAAATACCACGAGTCTCTCCTCCTCTATACATATATATATATATATATATTTCCAATGGCACGGACATCTACCTATCCGTCGATCTATATTTGCATAATAGATAACGGAACGAGAGAGAAAGGAAGAAGGGAAGAAAAAGAAAGCGGGAGAGAAAGGCGTCTAGCCTAGCGCCGTTGGATAACTCAACTATATGACACACCGGTGGAAGTGCGAGTTATAAAACTGCGAGTTAAGTCTCGGGCCGCGATCTCGGGGGAATATCTATCTCGGAATAAAGTCTCGAATAGGGAGGGATAAACGGGAGGGCGTCGGCTCTATTACCGAGGCAAACTCTTCCCGGCCTCTTTCCCGTGTCGTCTCGCGCGTATCTTTAATGCCCGTCGAATCGAGACACACGGACACGCGAAACTCGATCGATCGTTCGATCGTTCGAATCAATTTCGAAACGAAGGGAGAGAGAGAGAGAGAGAAAAAAGAAAAGGAAAGAAAAGAAAACAAGTCGACTTGGATCGATCATCGTGATTTATATTCGTATTTATTTATTTTTACCGCCTACAGAAATATCTACAGAAGGTAGAACGGAACGCTGGCGAAATCAATAAGAGCCGAGTCGCGTGTATTATGTATTAACTCCTTATAAATGAAACACAGAACGGTTGGGAATATTCCTTCGATAAGATCCATGGAAATATTTAAAACCAGTATCCGCCCCTGTCATCGTTCGACGCTAATCGTTATTTCCACCTGCCCTCCATCTACCGACCTACTATCGCTCATTTTTCCAGTTCCGTGGATTAATAGTAGAAAGGAGAAAGAATCGTCCATCGCTCGATTTATCTTTATCGTCTGCTCCTATACAGGGACTGTATTATTCAGCCAGATGATAGCTCGATCCTAGGAGGAAAAGTCGGCGAGTGATATGATTCGTGTTATCGATAACTGATACACTGATGCGTGTGGGGAGGGGGGACGAGGGAAAAAACGGGACGTTGAATCGTCGCAAAGGACATCGGATAACGGAGAATAAGGTTATCCGATGAGGCTGAGGCTCGAATTGTACGCGCTCGGCAGCAAACATACGCGGGTACGCGACGCCCCCCTTCTCCCCCTCTCTCTCTCTCTACCCGCGTTACGTTAGGTAGGATAGCACCTAATGTAATCACGATAATGGCCGTGCCGGGTCAACCAAGAGAGCTCCACGCCATCGCCCATCTCGGCATCCCAGACATTCCTGTATCATCGTGTGATCTGGACATGAAAGGGGAAGAGGAATGGGAATGGAGAGGAAGAGAATAGCGATAGAAGGGGGGAGGGGGAGGTGGGCGGCGATACTCTCGTGGAATCCCGATTACTAACGGGCGCTAACGGGCTCCCGAACAATCGTCCTTCGTCGATGCATCATCGTTCATTCGACAGGATTGCGGCTCCCTCTTTCGAGATCGCTAGAGAAAAAAAAGAAAAAAAAAAAAAAAGGAAAAGAAAAGAAAAGAAAATAATAATTCCCGTGTATACACACACATCCGTTGATATTCACAAGTCATTCCTTCGACGAAACGTCGTGAGAGGATGATCGTCTCTGTGGGGGGGGGGGGNGGAGAGAAAAAAAAAATTATCGTCGTATATTCGAAAATCGAATCGTTTTTCCATTGACACGAGGTAAACGAGGCAATTGTCGTGGAAACTTTGGCGTCGCGACGATAAAAGGGAAATTTGGCGGATGGTTTTACGTCGAAACGTCGACCTATCCCCTCCCCCTCCTTTTTTACGGTATACCGCTCTTTCCTTTTTTTTTTTATTTTTTCTTTTTTTTTTTTCTTTTTTTTTCCGGCGACCCATATTTGACGGACAATCGAATAAAAAGTTTTCCAGCTGTTGAAACGGTGAACGGAGAGGGGGAGGGGAGGGAGAGAGAGGAGGGTGCTCTTTTATGCAAACAAACTGAAACGGATCGAGTCTTTCTGTCGCGACGAAATAACCGAAAAAAAGAGGTTGATCGAATCCAATTGCAATCGTTTCCAATTGTATTCGCGGCCCTAACATTTTCGGGAGTATTCGCGGAAGAAAACGCGGCCGTCGGCCGGTTGGTGGAGAGGAGAGATTGCTCCAAGCTGTGGCGGAGAAGGTGTGCGCGGGTGGCAGCAGCAGGTGTGTGAGCAAAACGAGAAACGAGCCCGTTAAGCGAATTAACGTTCTCCGTGGTCCTCGAACAACTTCTATCCGGTGGTGTACTATCCGACTTGGTGGACGATCCCGACCCATTCGTTTCATCCATCCAAACTTTTCCCTTTACCGCGTCGCGATTTTCCCTCCCTCTCTCTCTCTCTCTCTCTCTCCCCTTTGATCTTTTTTGGGCGCAGAGATTTCGACGACTCGTTCCCCCTCTGTACCAGAATTGCGGAGACGCGTCGCGTTAATTCCACACCAACCCCCCTTTTCGAAAATCCGGAATATCTCCGAACGTGTGTACGTACGTACGTACACGCTTTTACGCATCGTTCGAAAGATAATCTTTAATCCCCCTGGCTGGCAAGTTGGCGATTATCCCTTTTTCTTTCCGCAGGCCGCATTATTCAAGCTCGTCAGCCAAGTTTCTCGGATAATTAGGTTCCCGAGGGTGCGGGAATCTTTGCAAAAGTACGACTAGCATGCGTTGAAATACGCTGTTTTCGTAGCAACTTGTCGCGCGAACAATGGAAACTGAAACTCGTGCCGTGAAACTGGGAATCTTGCACTCTTTCACGGATCGTTCGTTAGAATCGCAGTTATCTGGTTCCTGAATTTGAAACGGGGGAGGAGAGGGGGAGAGGAAGAAAGAGAGAAAGAAAGAAAGGAAGAGAGAGAGAGAGAGAGAGAGAGAGAGAGTGGAGGGGAGGGGGGAAAAAAGGAAAGATAAAAGAAAAAGCGAGTAAAGTCGGAGTAAAGAGGAATACGGAGTAATTTGCGAGTCGCAGGCCGAATACGAATGGCAACGGACAATTCCATTTGTCGCGATGAGAAAATCAAGAGGCGTGAAAGCAACGGTATACAAATCGGTATGTATGCATATTTCGCCTTTGATGGTTTGGTTTATTTGCATATTCGGCGGGCTATCGACCACTTCTAAATCGATATATTCAAACGCATCTGACACGCGTCGAGTAACCGGAGGAAAATAACGGGTGCGGGCCACGCACGGGTAATCCGACGAAACGTACGTACGAATCTCTCGTTACGCCATACGAATCGGTCGCGATTACGTATGGCGAAGCGAAGGTTATCGGTTGGTGTTTCGCTACCTTAATTGCGTGCAGCGTCAGCGGATAATTGATGAAGTAACGCGATTACCCCTATGGTCTGATAATTCTGCGGATTGTTAGGAAACCGAGCATGGTGCAACGTTGATAATCGATCGCGCGTACAATCTGTTCGTTCCACCGCACGTGGCAGCGACGGAATAACGAAGCTATTTGTTAAGCTATCGAAATTGTTCCCTTGTCCTTTCGTAACCACATTTGCGGCCCCCATTCTCTCGGTTGCCCAACGAATTTTCCTTCCTAACGGAAAAGAAAAGAGGAAAGACAAAAGTAACGGGAGGGAGGGAGGGAGGGAGGAAAATGCTTTTTCCTTCTCTTAGCCTCCCCTTTTATTATCCTTTTCAACCCTCTATGCTTTTCCTCTCGAGTTTCCTCTCGTTCCTGGCAAACTTTGCGACAAAGCGAATAAATCCAAATACAAAGGAATTCTATTCAACGCGAATTAACCCGCATCTTTTTTCGATAAACCGACCAACTATGTTAACAAGACGTGTATGACAACTCATCTCTAAAAAACGAATCAACGAGCACGGAGAGGAAGAGCGCGTGTTTTTTAAATCGGATAAAACACAACCCTTTCTCTTACGACTAATTTAAGTTGCGAGAAAAGCGACTATAAAAATTGCACCGCTTCGCGGATAACCGAGTTACGATCGATTTTTCGACGCGAAAAACCGCGGACCGTGACCTGTGGAGTCATCTTTCGACGAGAAGCCGCGATTGATCGTTTCGAGAACGTAGACCGACCGATGCGAACACGAACGAAAAGGAATGGAAGATCGCTGAGAAATCATCTTTTGAAAATGGAAAAATTATATTTTAATCGACGCGAATCAACAGATAAAATATCATTCCCTTCTTTCGATTTGAAATTTAAAAACGATTAAAAACTAAATTTATTTCGATGAACGATTACGATTGCTCTCGCTTCGTCGTATTTCCAGTGATTGACAATGAAGAAAGGAAATAATTGATCGTGATAACGAATTTAAATTGAAATTATCGTTAATTCTCGAGTTTAACGTGTCTCGATCGTACAAGTCAACGCTGATTGAACGATATATTTTCACGCGCATCTTCAACAAGATAGTTCTCTCCGTTACCGACTCGAGATAACTCAAAAACATTCGTAAAGGTAAACAACTACTATCGCGGCATATCGTACAATATCGTTTAATATCTCTTTATAATTTATTTTTGATCAGCGACTAAAATAGATGCACCTAATGAAAAATTCATATGCATAAATTAAATTATGTAATAGGTACGATAGGAAGGAATATGCGAAGAAATACAGCTCAAGGAAATTAGCGTATATTTTCCTCTAAACCATCGTATCTCTATCAGCTCGATAGATAATCGAATCGAGATTTAATTTCACAATTTGACAAAATCTCTCGAAAGAACGAAAGAAAAAAATCGTTCAAACGCTCGATCGATCGAGTTTCTGTCGTTGATACAACTTTTCCAAAATCGGTACGGGGATACGTTTCTCGGCCAGATTTTTCGTTCCAGGAAGTTCGGAAGATAATCGAGAATTTTCAGACAGCGAGTCTTGTCCGATGGGCGGTAAAAGTTGATGAGAAACCAATTTCGACAAAGGTATGGCTTTCTCCTCTAAATTCTCCGTGCCTGGCAACGGCAACGAGATCATTTCCGTCTCTTTCGTTATTATATCTCGATCAGCAAAACCGATTCCAGACGTTCCACCAGTCGCTCGAAGTGTTCCAGGAGCCGCTAAAGTTCCAACGATAAACAACGTGACGATCTGTAACTATTCGAAAACACCCTGAATCCTTCTCACTTCCCTCGATCATCGGTTGTATCGGCGTGGCCAAAACGCGCATCACTGACGGAAATCAACGTTCGCGCATTCGTGTTTCGAATAGTGAACGAAAAGCGTCAGAATTTTTTTTTTTTTGCAGCCATCGACTGTGCGATACAGAGCGAAAAATTAACAGCGCCTCGCGTTTTGGCCGCGTTTTTTTCGTTGCCTTCTTACCTCGATCATGTTTGCTCGAATAACCACGCTCGACTGTTCTCCTATCCACGACCGTACTTTTATACGTATGTAAATATACACATATGTAGATATAGGATATACGTGGCGACACCGGTCCCGCAACGTGTAAAATCCACGTTTTATTTTGATGAGCCAAGCGGCTACCACACTCGCTCGAGGCGATATCCTCGTCGTCCAATTATTCTCTTTTTTTCCATCCGTACCTGTTTCCATATCCCCCCAGAATTACTTATTCTCTTCCACTTAGTCTCCCCGCGAGAATTCGACCGTTCGTTCGCATCAAAATTTGCGCTGTTCGAGAAGTTTCTGCGTAGGAAAAATCGAAGAAAGATACATACAACGCGCACATACACGATAATAAGAATCGAAATTTATACTCGTTCCTGGACGAGGAGGTATCTTCGGTATCGAAATGAAAATATATGATCTGCACTATTGAAACAATAAGTGCGAATGCGTAATGTTTTGCGGGGATAATTTTCCACATTATAAATATTATTTCGTCGAAGGGAAATAAATGATTGGAGAAGGCGCGTGATCTCGGCGCGTTATTTATCTAGATCGAGAAACTAAATCGAGGAAACGAAGAGTTGGAGACGGGGGTATTCTTCGAAATTCTGAAAAACGAAGAAAAGCGAGAAATCTTGATTTTGTTTGCCCTTCTTCCTCCTCTTCCTCCTCTCCCTCCTTCTCTGCCTTTCTTTATCGTTTCAACACGCCTACGCACGAACGTAAGGAATAATCGAATCTGCACGCCTACGCCTACCGCTTGTTCCGTCCAACCTTCTCCTCTCTTTCCACCTTTTTAGGGTACAACGACATTTCCTTCGCGACGTGACGGTTGTGTATCTTACGGACGCGTATCTTAACGCGGTGTAATAGGTATAGCGTGCAGTCATCCGGAAAAAGTGACGTCATTTTATCCCTGTTCCAACCAATTAGCTCGCTATTATAGGCGAGGCTTAGGTTGCACACACGCTCGAGTCGTAAAACTCGGACAACGAGAAGCGGGGAAAAAGTGACGTCACGTATCCATGTGTCCATGTACCTTGACATTTCTCGCGTCTCCTCTTACCTCCAACTTCACCGCTCCGACTCGTTGTTCAACGAGGAGGATCGTTTACATCATCGCGCGCGCGCGCACACATACACACGCGTACACACACACACGGGGAACAAAAGAGTTGGGGTGGGGGTGGTAGGGGGAGAATTCGATCGACGTATTTTCAATGCGATTAAAAATAAACCTCTCCCCTCGCGCGTGCCTTATCTTCTCTCGCGCTTGGATTGCGACGCGACGCGACGCGACACGGCGCACGTTGCTTTCCCGAATGGAAACAAATTACGTATTTTCCGCAGAGGAGAGATTTTCATCGGTCAAAGCGTCCATTGACGGGGGGGAGACTCGTCAACACCGGGTCGCCATCAACACGTGGCAACCTGTTTGCAACCGACAGCTCGATCGATCGAGGTTTGGATGAGTGGCGAGAGGCAACCGTTAACCGTTTCGTAACCGATCGTTGTCGATCGACGACAAACAAACGAGGACGCGACGTCCTTTAACCCGGCGATCAACCGAACTCAACCGAAATATGTATTCGGTTCGAATATACATGATCAGTGATGATCGAGATTTCGTTGGTAATCGATGGGGCGCGGTGATTCGCGTTTTTCTCTTTCTAATTTTTCTTAAATTAATACTCGGTTTGTTGAACGCGTCGCGGTGCCGATTCGCGGTCCCCGCCCAATATTTACACATTCGGTGGCACGTTCCGTCTTTTCATCTGGAAACAGAGAGAGGGAGAGAGAAAGAGAGAGAAAACCGAAAATACACGGTCGTGGGTTTGACGTAGAACGGTTTGCCGTTACGCGTATAAGCAACCGGATAAAATCGATCCTGTATTTGTTTCTTTTTGTCTCCACACTCTGGGAAACGATAGCCCCCGTCCGGGTTGACTTCTCGTCTCTAACAACAGCTTCGATTTTCCCAGCTAAAATATCCACCCCTTTCCTTAAATTTGAATTTCCTTTTTCGAATTTTCCTCTTTTCGAAATGAGTCGGAAAAAGATGGTGGTGGGAAGAGCGTCGCTCTCCTTTCCAACGCCGGACGGTATACTCGACGTGGATCAAATTCTCGACACGGATCCGTGGAAACAGATCGACAATTTCGTGCAACACAATTTCAGGCAAAATTTGTTGGACGAATTTAACGAACGGTTAAAACTTAATCCCACGATCGCGCCATCAGGTAAGGAAAATCGTTTCCCCTTTCCTCTTCCCACTATTCCCGCGCTTTTTAACTCGATCGTTGTTAATTAACGAGAATAGAGAGTAAGAGCCCGGCAAAGAAACAGGGAGCGACGTCGTCGAGAACGCCCCGTAAAGGTGAAACGGCGGCAACGAAGCCGAAAACGAACGGAGGGAAATCGGCGGTGAAGGAGAAGAAAGGCGTTGATCGCTCGAAACCGAAGGAGCCGAAAGGAAAAGGGATCGGGGGGAGGAAGGAGGATGGAGGAAAAGAAGCTTCGAAGGGGAAGGCGAAGGAGAGCAAGGAAGGTGGCGGCGCCGTTAAGGGGGGAGAAAAGAAAGGGGAGAGACAGGCGAAAGTCACGAAGGAAAATAAATGCGAGAAACGAGCGACGACCGGTTCGCAAAAATTGAATTCGATCGCGAGGAAAAGTTCGATGGGGATATCGTCGGCCCGGAAGAAGAACGAGAACGTCGTGGACGTCCGTGCGAGCGAAAAATCGACCAAGAGCGAAAAATCGATCAAGAGCGAAAAATCGACCAACAGCGAAAAATCGATCAAGGGCGAAACGACAGCGAGGAAAAACGATAAAATAGAGGAGAACGCGGGGGAGGGGAACAAAAGCTTGATGAACAACGGGGATAAATCGAGAAGCGTTTCGATTTCGATGTCGCAGCTTAAAACAAGCACGCCGAAACGTAACGTTGCTAGTATCAGCAGTTCCATTGGGAAGGAAAATGCTATCGCGAGGTACAACGTCTCGGCGTCGAGGGGGGATTATTCAGCGAAGAGCGACGTTTCCGTGAAGAGGATGCACTGCACGTCCACGATTTGCGCGAGCAAATTATTAGATTTGAACAACAACGAAGACAAGATCGAGAAGAAGGTGGAGAATAAAGAAACGAGTGTGGCGAAACTCGAGCATAAAAGTATGATTTTGGGAAAGATTAAGGAGGAGACAACGCTCGGGAGCAAGGAAATATCGAGGATATCGATGAATGAAAAAAAAATGTTAACGTTGAGTTGCAAAAAGCAGGATAAAAAAGAAGCGTCGGCAGGTAAGCGTGTTTTGGTTTCCGACTTTTTCTGCGTATCGTCATTTCGATATAATGGACGATTTTCGCCCGATAGAGAAGAAGATTGGTAAGCACGAGAAACGTTTGCTGGAGCGGCGAGAAAAGCGACGAAAAAGGAACATAAGGAGGCACGAAAGAAAAGCGGAGCAAGCCATGGAAGAGTTCAGCCATCACGTTACTCGCATCGTGAAAAAAATGGGTTATTTGTCGGGTAGAGCATTTATTTGAAATATCTTTACGAGTAACGATATGTTTCAACGATTATCCACTTGAAATGTTTTCTTGCAGAATTCAGTTCGTGTTCCAGTAGCGAAGATGACGTTAGCAGTTATTCCGATTCCTACGATACTTATTCCGAATCCTCGAAAGGATCGTCTTACTATTATTCTTACTCTTCTCGTAGCTCGTGTTCTTGCAGCAGTTCGTCCACGTTTTTATAACCGTTAAGATTATTATTTTAAAACACGTTTTAAATACACCGACATGTCTCATCCCCCTCCGTTTAAATCCTTGTGTATGAATGTATTATTTAATTTCCTAATTATATACGAGCATATAAATATTACGAATAAAGAATTTTAACCAAACAACAACAACGAATAATAATAAATTCGAACGAAACGTATTATTATCCTTTATTCCTCGATCCATCGACGTGAAAATATTTCGGCGATAAAGATATTGTGTCGTTACAACTCTAATGAATCGAGACGAAACAAGTTATACATCTTACTGCCTAGATACTTACTTCTATCGTACCGGTTTTTGTCTATTTATATCTCTGATATTACCGTCGTTGCACTGGTATGTACGATCCATCCCTATGGACATCGTATACTTGACATACATGTTAAAAATACTTTCTGGTTTAAATTAAATTCCACCTCAAGAGTATGCATATCATTTGGCCATCGATAATACATATGTATATATATATATAAAATATATATTATATATATAATATTATTCGGATATCGGTTTGCGTGTCTCACGATCTCATGCACGAGCATCGTTTCTCATCAATATAATATGCGTACACACACATACATATATATATACATATACATATATTATAGTATCGATGTAACGAAGACAACGAACTCGAGTCACTTATACACGTGCTGAATACACAAGAAAGAGCGGGACCATTCTTATTCGCCTATTTTATAAATCGTTAATCTATCTCTCGTTTCCGATGCTTTCGATATCAAAGGTAGCCACGCGCGTGATTCGATAATCGTCGAAAAGAAAGAAAGAAAAAAAAAAAAATTCGTATACAACAACGACAAGAACGTATCAATTCCGATGTTTGATCTCGCGATATTTCGCGAATATGCGTAATTAACCTCGAATTCGGCAACCGTGACTGATAATTTTTTTTTTTTTTTTTTTCGGAATGAGCAAGATTTATCTGATTTGAACGAGGAGAAGAAGGAAAGGGGGAAAGAAAAAAAGAAAAAAGAAAAAAAAAAGAGGCGAAAAATTGCAAGGATGTTTGATCCTCGCATCGATGTTCCATACCTTTCCCGATCTACGTCTGCGCGTGTCGGCCGGGTCTATAAAAGCGACGCAGGGCGTCGCGACGGCTCCAGACGCGACATACGCGCATAACTGAAAATGTGACATCGAGGGAGGGATAGAGATTTTATCGTTACCATCGTTGACAGATTAATCGAAAAATTTGTGTGAAAAGTCGAGAAGACGTCGAGGCCATCGCGGGGATAATTGGCTCGAGGCGAGACCCGAATCGATCGTTTCGTTTTTTTTTTTTTTTTGCGTATTCGTTCGGTCGGATTCGTTTCAGTGAACGGTACAATGTGAACATGTAGAACGTCGAAGGGACACGTATACAGAAGAGAAAGAAGAAGAAGAAGAAGAAGGAGGAGGAGGAAAGGAAGAAAACGAGCGTTTTTTTGTGAAAGTTGAAAACGACGTTGAAAACTCGGTGAATCAATCGAAACTTGGAACTCTGTGCGTCGATTCGTCATCCCGCAGACACACCTTTCTCATTCGTTCGCAAGGATTACCGGAATCGTTGTAAGTCGATCATCGATAAGAACAAATAATCACACTGTCTAACGCTGTGCCAACAAATTAACCCCAACCTCACGGTCTATCAAACGTTCGAATAAATCGAGTGCTCGTTATTATCGATATTAATGGACACGGTTGTTGACAAGGATTGTGCGCAATGCAATTAAGATTTAACGAAGTGAGCACGATGAGATAAAAATTAGCACGTAATAAGAAGAGATATGATTCAATCGATGCGTTTTACGAAACGTTTTCTTTTTTTTTTTTTTTTTTCCCCTCTCCTCTCGTTTACGGAAATTTCGTTCGCGACGCCCTTTTCCCTCCTTCTACCCCTTCTTCCCTCTCAAAGTGTTGCGTGCAAAGGCATAAAGGGAAACGGGATATATCGGTTCTCTAAATCCCTGACACGCGTCAAAATAGGTCCTGGTAAACAGAAATGTTAAATATAACGTGGGACTGAAACTTTTGTCAGAGTGAGAACCGGCGAGAACCGGCAAACGGAATTAAGGGGAAAATAATCGGTTGTTAAATTTCACGAGAATCGAAAAAAGAGTGAGATTTACGTAAAAATAGAGACGCGTGCGCGCGTGTAAAATAAAATTCAGGGAAGAGAGAATTATCTCGAGGAAAAAAAACGACAGCTACGACCGGCAATAAAATTCAATTCTCGCGTCCAAAAAAGTTTTAAACGTCGATTGTTTTTCACGACGCGAATCGACGTTTAAAAAAAAAAGAAGAAAAAAGAAATGTCTTTGGATCGAACGAAACGGCTAATAAATTTTTGCCACGACGACACGCCTTCTCGAATTTTTTTTTTTCCTTCTCTCTTTCTTCTTCTTCTTCCTCCTCCTCTTCTCAAACAAAAAGTGAAAAGTTTTTTAATTCGTAACCGGAATCGGGGACGAGAACGAACGATAAAAGGAACGATTTGATGCGCGTTGCTGCAGCGAAATCCTTGCTATTGATCTAGGCAGCTCAAAAGGTCCTGGGTTCACCCGCCCAACCTCCACCATTCTCCCCTCGCCTCTCCACCTTGTATTTAGTCCTTCGCCTACACGCTCTATCGGGGACGGGGATCTCTCTCCCAAATTTTGCTTCTCCGTCCATCTTTCTTTTTTAACTTCGGTTTAATTGAAAAAAAAATCCGAATTAACCGACCTTCGATCTTCACCTCGTAAATCGCATCGAAGATACTCGTAACGTTCGACAGGAGATAGATAGAAAATAATCGTTGACGGATTCGTTTGTACGAGTACAAGGCCAAGAACGATTCTTACAAATCGCAGGAAACGAAGAGAAGGAGAGAGAGAGAGAGGGAGAGGGAGAGGGAGAGCGATGCCCTCTGCGATACAAAACTACTACCGTGTTAAACGCGTTTCACGCTTGATCGGCCGTTTGTCGGTGTCGTAGTTGGCGCTTACGTAAGTTCGCTAAACCGGATGAAGAAAAAAAATTTTCACGATCAAACGATTGACGAGCATGAGAAACGCGGATGAGAAGGAAAGAATTTGAAAAACTTTAGAGGGAAGGGGAGGGAGTGAAGGAAAGAGGATGAATAAACGATATATAACGATCGATTTGATTTCAGATGAAACTTCACGAGAAGAAGGAATCCGGGATACACAGAGTGCAGGAGATTCCTTTGGAGGAATTGGAGCTCTCGAAAGAGTACGAAGTGGAGAAGACCCTCGGGGAGGGCAGTTTCGCCAAAGTGTTGTTGGCCACCCATCGAGCTACGCGAACGAGGGTAGTTCTGAAAGCCGTCCACCAAGAGCTGACCACGGAGAAGGACTTTTTCCGCGAGTTCCACTACTCGTATCACTTAAGCCCGCATCCGAATATCCTGTGCTCGTACGCGGTCGCGTTCAAGGCGGAGAAGTGTTTCGTGTTCGCCCAGGAATACGCCCCTTACGGGGACCTCGCCGGGAACGTGAGGGCAGGGGGTTTGAGCGAGGAGGCCTGCAAGAGGATCGCCAGCCAGCTTTGCTCCGCGCTCGACTTCATCCACTCGAAGCAGCTCGCGCATCGGGACATCAAGTTGGAGAACGTGCTTGTGTTCGCCCTCGACATGTCGAAAATCAAGCTGTGCGATTTCGGGTGCACGAGGCGGGAGGGGACCCTGGTGAACAAGATCAGGTGCACCTGGCTACCCTTCCAACCGCCCGAGATCTACGAGATAGTGAAGAACGAGAGATACGCGTGCAAGAGGAGCGCCGATTGCTGGCAATTCGGGATCGTTCTGTTCGTGTGCCTGACGGGGAATCCACCGTGGCAAACCGCCGACCTCATACAGGATCCCGAATACTCGGCCTTCCAAAGATGGCTGAAGAGACGGACGACCAAAGTCCCCCCGTCGTTCAGACGGTTCACGCCCAGGTTGCTGCGATACTTCAGGAGAACGTTCGAGCACAAGCCCGAGAAGAGGCCGCACGTGACCGAAATCAACAAATACTTGAAAGACTCGTGGTGCGTGAACAAGATCAGTCACAGCGCTACGTCCACGTTGGTGGACGCAAGCGAGGGGGTAGCGAGGAGGGCGGACAGTTTGCTGTACCTCGACACGATCCTCGATGATCAACGGAACGTGGACGAGAACAAGAACAAGTTGAGGAAGCTTCTCAACAGTTACGGGCTCGAGACGACGATCGATCAGAAGGTTGTCACGAAAAGGATCTGGGAGTGGGTGATGCAGTGCGACTCGAACATAGCCGAACCGGCGTTCGTGGGTAGTTTCGGGACAGAGAGTATGTGAGGGATGGTCAAGGCTTCTAGCGAACCTTGCCTTAGAAGCGAACGTCAGAAACGAAAGTATAGTTTCGGTGGGTTCGACGCTGCCCGCGAGGGAAACGCACCACCCTCTTCGCTATGTGCCAAACCAACGTTCGAAAGAACGGCCACGAATTCACCTTCGATCCTTCATTAGAGAGACAAGAGGACAAGGTGCATCGTCCCTTCCGTGCCGTCGTTCACTCGCCTTTCACTTTCCAATACCAAATTCGAACGCTTTACCGATATGGACCGTGAAAATGTGTGATAATTCCCCCTCATTCTCCTCTCCTCCCCCCAAGTGTGTCTTTTATTAACGTATCTTTTCTCCACACCCAATTATCCACACGACTCACGCTCTCACCTATTCCGATCCTTTCTCTGATGATCCACGTCATTTCCCTCGCTGCATCAATCTTCTCTACGAGCGGACCAATTATCGACAAATGTATGTGCGTTATTTATTATCGCGTACAAACATCTTTCGTACGCTTCCTCCTTCGAGCGTGGAAGACCCTCGAGACGAGAATTGCCTAAAGACTGTACGAAGAAGTTGAGTGCGATGAATGCGAGAGATAATCGGGGCGATCCTGAACGCGAAACGAATGTGATAGAAAAAGAGAAAAGAAAAAAAGAAAAAAAAGAAAAAAAAGAAAAAAAAAAAGAAAAAAAGAAAACTCGTTAAGACTGGGACGAGCGAATGCGAGCGTAAATGCGAAATCGGTGTTTTCGGTGTCGACTATAGAGACAATAATGACTGCGGATTTCCTAATAATTTATTACATTACGATAATTATAATAATAGTTTAAAACGAAACGGTAACCGGTAGAGATCACTGTACGAGGCCTTGCGTGAAATCGAGGATTTCGTTCCATCGTGCAATCGTAAGAGGAAACACGTTCTAAACGTTCGCGGCGAAAAATGGAGCGAAAAATTTGGAAAGAAAAAAAAAAAAAAACTCGAATAGAGATTAATTCGGTATATAGCGTCGTTAAGCGATATAGCGTATGCATAAACATAGCGCGCATATATTCTTTTAGCAATTTATCGGTAGAAGGAGAGAACATATAGAAATCGATCGATGGTACACAATTTGGTAGAGTTACCTTACCACGAAACAGCAGGCTATACACGCGCAGTGACGCGTATTCTTCCCCTACGTAATGCGAAATTTGTAATTAGTAAAATTGTATTATATAGAATCAAGTTGCTACAAACGAGGAAGAGGAAAACAAGAAGGGAAGAAATATGCAATAACAACGCGTTGGGCCTCCGTTATCGCGAAACAATGTTTTCTATATAAATGATATCGAAATAAACGCATTAAATATAAATAATTGCAACACAGTCTATGATGGTATTCTCTCGAGTCAGCCTCTCTTTTTTAAAATTTTTTAAAAACTGTTAGATAAGACTTATTATTCTTTCTTGTAGCGAATGAAAGAAGGAAAAACTGTTCGAACGATTCAACAAACGAAACTGTTCGCTGGTTGAAACGAATTTATTTTCTTCAAGGAAAAAAGAGTTATCAAAATATATCTGACTTTACATTTACATTGCGATATATTTCCGCGATGTTTTTTAATTACGAGCGAAATATATATATATATATATACATATTTAAATACGTGAAACATTTTTCTTTCTTCTTGTCCTTCAATCTCGCGTCTCAAATGGAAAAGAGAGCAACTAAAAGGACCATCGAGGAATACTTGACCTTTGACCTTTTTTCTTTTCCTTTTCCCAAATCCGCGAGTTTCGCAGCCATCATGAACGTGCTACTTGTCCGATTTGACACACCCTTGACCTACGAGACACCTATTTTTCTAGAGTTGTCGACTTATTTTCTATATATCTAATCGTCCAGTTCTTAAAAACGAGTAAAATCACGTATTCTCTTTCTCGATAGGAGTAACAAAAATAATTAAAAATATTCTTTTTTACGAGCATCGATATCTGAATTTATAAATGTGCGTTTAACGTACATGGATTTCATCGAATATTCGTAATCGTGCTGTTAAAGTGAAATCACAAAATTTATTATGCGATTTTAGAGAAGAGCGAAAGATTCGCGGAATCGTTGACGGCAATATTTCGAAAACTGTTCGTTTCGACATAAACAAAATAATAATTTTGCTAGAAAAATTTTCGTAAATATTATTACGTATCTATTATTGACATAAGAAGAGGTAGAAGAAACGTCAAACTTCTACTATTACTACTACTATTGCTACTACTAACGTATATTCGCCTTTTATCCGTATACGATGGGTATTTTGGGTTTGCGCGCTACTATTTCCGCGCATCGCGCGTTTATTCTGAATCGTTTGCTTTCCCAAGTTACGTACTTCTACACATGCGAACATATCTACCTCGTGTGAAAACATGCGTACGTCTTATACATACAGGTATAATAATATAGAATAAAAAAAAAAATCGCGATAGAAAAATATACTCGAATCTATGATATAAATATAAATATTCTTTTCGTCATGCTAGATATAAATGGTAACGATTCATATGTAAATAAATAATGTGAACATTATTTTAAAATATTAAAGGATACGTATAAGCGTAACATTGCGATAATACCGAGACCGTGAATTTAGAAACAGAGAGGAAGAGAAAGAAAGTTGAGGCAGCGGACGGCTCGTCGCCGAGTATCTCGTCATCGATCCTCCGGTCCAACAGCCCGACGTCTATTTTCATACAGGCTAACCTATTTATATGTACGGACAATGTTCTACTTTTATCGGCCGATGAGAACAGCAAGCAACCGCGCGTCACATCGTGTCGGAACTCGATATATCGCGTAGATTGCTCTTCAGAGTACCGAACAAATCTGCATCGTGCTATTTCACGAGTTAACTGGTACCATGTGCTTATATACATTATACTTATGTGCCCCCTACCGCTAACACGCCTTCATGTTTTACGATCTCCCTTTTGATTTCTTGACGTCAAAGCGCTCTCGGAACGATAACGTTGAGTATCAGGAAGAAAAGATTCGACAAATATACGAATTGAAAATTATTCGGAAGAAAGATTTTAAAAGCGAAACGACTACTTACCAAATTACAAGTTGTTATTTTACTGAAAACTGCGCTGAACATTCTGTATTTTCTTCCGAGTTTGGAGATGTTTTCCATAGCCTGTCGAATTCATCGACGAATGGCTTCACTAACGAATGTTGATTAGTCACTATTATATGATCGAAATTTCCAAAAAAAGCAGACATTGTCCAATTCGTACTACCAGTGATTAATATATCATTATCCACAATCGCGAATTTATGATGCATTAAACCAACGTAATATTCTAATCTAATTGTGACCCCTAAAACGCAAATAATTTCAAAATTCTAAGAAAAAAATTAATTGAAATATCGTTAATAATAAAAAATTGAAAGTTATTGATAATGTATCTAATGTATATAATAATAATAATAAATATACAATAATCATTTTTCACATACCATTCCTATAAAATAAAGCCGTTTGCGCGGCTTCATTGCAAGCCATACTTCGATCCATTATTATTCGAACAAGTACTCCCCGTTTATGTGCGTTTACGATTGCATTTGATAACAATTGACAAGTTAACATGTACATACAAATATCTAAACTTTTTTTTGCTCGGTTTATATAATTTTCCAACTTTCTATAAATATTATTTACCGTTTGTTAAAAAATACATACATATAATATTTATTTATAATTTAATAAGCGATTATATGTATTACCTCAAATATTGAACAGAACAAGTGTCTTTGAGACAAATCTCTTTATTAGTTAAGTGTGTTCGACAAAAACTAGATTCTTTTGTAAAAAACATCACCTCTGAAATGTCTTGTTTCGATTCATAAATGTTTGTTTTCAAATCTTTGCAAGTGTTTGTAGACTTAATCCATAGGTTATGAACTTTTTTGTATAAATACCAAATGATTTCCGACGCAAAAACTATTCCCCCTACTAGGAAAATTTTATTGTGTTTCATTTCTAGAATAAAAATTTCAAATATATTTATATAATTAGAAATAACAATGAAAATTATATTAAATTTAATAAAACATATATATATATATATGTATGTATATATATATTTTTTTTCGATATTTTTTATTGGTTTAGGCGTATATATGAATCACGAGATATTCTAAATTATATAGTGGACATAAGAAATGAATATGAATATTGAAATGAAAATGTTTTATAACTGATAAAAAGAAAAAAGACTATTAAAAATAAACAATTAATAAAATACGAATGCTGTGTTCCAAAATATTTAACCTAAAATAATCGATTCAAATTATAATGCAAATTAAATAGCAATTATAAATCTCTAATATGATAAACATAACACAACACACCTGCGCATATACTTTTTAAGATCTTTAATTAATTCTAATTTTTGCTTTAAAAACAAATAATTGAATCAATAGATAGCTAACTTTACCGCCACTGCGAAACATTTAACTTGTGAAATTGTCTTTCAGTACTGAAAACAGTTTAATTTTACACACTAGATCTATCTAGATATTTTCTGGATATTTTATATTAAGAATGTTTCTTACTCTGATACGAATGTGTTAGATTTACTATTTTAATAAAAAAAAATCAATTTGATGTAAAAAAAAAAAAAAAAAAAAAATTATTAAATATTTACCTTTTAAATATTTATTAAATATTTATTATTAAATATCATTATTAAATATCATTAAAGATTTCTTAAAATATTGTAAAAGTATATAGAAAGATTTGTTAGTTTTGTCCCATTTGCTTAGATATAAATTCTTTATCTCTATTCCAAAGAATATTACATATAGTATTTAGCTGATAAGAACAGTCAAACACTTCAGATCTTATAGGAAGTTTATTAATATCAATTCTAATAACTTTAACTTTCCATTTGTCTTCAAATTCTTTTATCCGTGCATCTTCTATTGTAGAACTGGACCATGGTTTAAATCTATAATATTTTAAAATTTATTTAAATATTTTCATCACATAAGAAAGAAAAAAAGATCTATTATTAATAATTATTAATAATTATAAAAAATCTATTATTTAATAAATTACTTTGTTCCTATTACTATATTTGCTGGTTTCTCTTTTATGGCTGTCATAGTATTCATCAAATATGGAACATCATTAAATCCTGTTGCATCATCAAAAGAAAATACGGAACATATAGCATCTACTTTGTCTTTACATGCCTATAAATTTAAATAATGTGATTCTTTAATATCATATTCCATTATATCATGTTATTATATTTTATATATATTTTATTTCACATACAGGTAATATGTGATTATATTTTTTAATGCTTGCTTCTGAAGTATCCCAAAATTGTAATTTAAACAATACAACTTTATCCCATATCTTAACTGGCCAAAATACATTTGTCTTTTTTATTCCATTAGTTTCAGTATAAGTATTAGATTCTAATATTCCAGCAAGTCGAGCTACAACAGCAGTTTTTCCTACTCCGGATCTTCCAATCATAAAAATTTTATATGTAACTTCTTCAATCGAAGAAGGTAAAGGTGGTCTTTCAAGAATACCTAAGACATTTTACAAAGATAAATCAATAAACAATAAATATATATAATAAAGAAAAATTTATTTAATTATCATTCTTTACCATAAAATCTCCTTTTCTTAGATGTGTTTATATAAAAATGATGCATCAATGATTCTCCCTCAACTGAATGCAACCAATTTACGTTTATTGCTGTCATGAAAAGGATTATAGAAAAAACCAAAAAATGAAATTAATAAATTTCCGATAAATATTGGTTATTACAATGATTATAACGATTACAAAAACTTCTACATATTTTGCAAGTTATCATGTAATAATTGTTGTTTTAAAATCTGAATGTTTGAATGAAATTCAATTAAAAAGATAAAAGAAACAAATAAAAAATCTTTTTTTTATCATAGATGATTTTATCAACTAAAGTATAATTTTTATAAAAATCACTTTTCTTTTCATGAATTCTGATAAATGATACATTCCAACAAGTATGACAACTTTATCTCACAAATTTGCATGGTATTGGCGGTTCTTGTGAATTTCATGTACATATATAATCTCTCAACCAATCAAATAAAATCCCGCCTTCGAACAACCAATAAGAATTATTACACTATATTACTGCAATGGGGACAAATAATTCCATTAGCAGTGAAGTTGGCGTTAGTTCAAATAAATGCCACATTGACCAATAAAATCCATGTACAACACGTAACGCGTTGTTTGCAGTTGTATCGCCATATTGTATATTTAACGCGGGTCACTGGCGCGTGTATGGGCTTTTCGTAAGATTTTCTGCCGAATAAAAGTGCGTGGATTAATAAAAATCGTGAAATATTACGCGCAATGGATCCGGAAAAGTTAAAAGTAGTCGAATTACGGACAGAACTCTCAAAGCGTGGACTCGATACAAAAGGCGTCAAGTCAGTGCTCGTTGAGCGACTTCGTAAGGCAATAGAAGAAGAAAATGCACATCGTAAGTTACTCTCTTCTTATTCTTTAATCTTATGCTATCCCAAATTTTTTGAAGTATGATGTTCGTTAACTAACAATCTATGTATTCAAGTACTCCAATGTTGACAAACATTCAAGTGAGGCAATAATAATGCATCTAACATTTTTCATTGTTTTTTCTTTCATTATATTATCTTTGAATAAAAAATGATAACATATTTACAATTATTAGAAGTAATTAATCGCAAAGAATTTCTTTTTAATATTTCTTATTCTATATAGGCGCGAACTATGCGCGCCTTTCTTCTGTTTACGTGCGAATTGTATATGCGACGCCTCTACATCTTCTTATTAGTTTTGAAGTTAGCAATTTTTATTTACGTTTACTTAAATTATCATAATTCTTCTATTAATATCTACAATTAAAGAATAATATTATTAAAAATTATTGTTTTTAAAAATTTAAAAAACAAATACTATATTTTATACATTTTTTAATACTATATTGATTGCCTTTCTAAATTAATGTAATATAAATATTTTCAAATTATAGAGATAAATCAAGGAAAAACAAATGCCAGTGCAGAAGATACACATGATGATACAGTTCAAGAAAATGATGAAAAATCAACAAAAATACCACAAACACCAAAAAAATCTAGTAGATTATCTAAAAGTGCTCCTGTGATGACACCAAAGGAAGACTCTGTAACAAAAAAACGAAGAACTACTAGAACTCCATATTCTAGAAGGAGGACATCCCCCAAAAAAACTGATCAAAATGATATGTCTCGTGAACCATCTCCTACAGTATCTGAATCTGCTTTGCAAGAAGAAACTATACCAGAAGAAACTGCTACGCAAGAAGAAGCAGCTATGCAAGAGGAAACTGCTATACAAGAAGAAACAGCCATACAGGAGGAAACTGCTATACAAGAAGAAACTCATGCCCAAGAAGAAATTCTTATACAAGAAGAAACTCTTATTCAAAGAGAAATTTTTATGGAAAAAGAAAAATCTTTATCGCCTAAAAAAGATGAAGAAAAAGAAATAAAAGAATTGATATCAAGTATAGAAAATAAAAATGCTAGTCCCATGGAAATTATAAAGGAAGATGAAGTAAAGAATATTGATCTCCCAGAAAATAATGAAAATGAACAGAATATAAGTGACTCACAAGTACTTTCTATAAAATCACCAGTAAAATCCCCAGTGAGGTATAATGTTACTGATATTGCACTTTCAAAAGAATCATTAGATAATAAAGATGATGTGAATCAAAAACAAGAATCAACAACAGAAATCAAAACAAATCTACAAGAATTAGAAACCGTAGATATAAAAGAAAAAGACACTGATTCAGACATGCAAGAAAATGATATGTCAACTATAATTAATAAGACATGTGATAAGGCAAATGATATATTAAAAGAAAATATTGAACATGAGGAAGAAAATATAGAATCTGTAGATAATGATTATATTGTAGAATCTATTAATGATACTAAAACTATTGACATTCCTGAAACAGAAGAACAAGATTTACTTGAAGAGCAAGATATAGATATGAATGAAAGTGATGAGTTAAAAACTGAAAAGCAGTTAATTGAAGATAAAAATATTTTATCTACTAGTGAAATAATAATGGATAGTAATATCAACAAAAAGCAAGATGAAGAGGTATACTTTATATATCAATTTTTTAAAAATCCTAGAATATTGTTATATTTCAAATTTATTAAAATATTTATTATAACTTCATAAAATCAATTTGATTTTTTATCAATATTTTATCAAATATCTTTTCTATCATTTTGCAAAATTCGTTGACTTTATTTGTTACATTTTGTAATCTGGTGTAATCCGCGATCTCAGCAAAATGTAGAGGACTGTAATTAAAATAAATTTGTTAAAAAAAAATTGAAAATATTCGTTAAATTTTAAATATTTGAAATCTTTTATTTTTGGAAATTTTAAAACAAAAAATTTAAAAATTCGTCAATATACGTTTGAGATCGCGGATATTTTTCCTAGTAAAATATTACGTCCTCTACATTTTGTTACATAAAAATCTTACTGTACCTACAGGAAATATTATTTTTAATCATTGACCTATTTTCGTTTACGTGGAAAGGATATAGAAATGTCAAAAATTAAACACGAAGAAGATACAGATGTAGATATGAAAGAACGAGAAACGAACGACATCATCAGGGATAGAAAGCGGAAAAGATCTCCTAATCCTTTAGAAGATAGGCATGATTCACCTCCACCAATTCTCACCGAAAATGAACCAGAAATTGATGATTCTGCTTTAATATTGTCTTGGTGTATGTTGAAAATTAAATAAAAGTAATTTTAATATATAAAAAAAATAATTAAATAATTATTATTGTTATATTTCAGATGATTCAGATTTAAATTTGGTTATTGATAAGGATGGATTTTTTACTGCTACACCTATGCATAATGGTGGATTTTCACATATGTGGGCTGGTGCAAGAGCATCTTATGGTTTTCTTTGTGGAAAAGTTTATTATGAGGCAAAAATAGTAGAACATTGTACCATTAATACAGAAAATGAAGAACATCCACATGTTCTTAGAATTGGTTGGTCTACTCTTTATACTTCAATGCAACTTGGAGAAGAAAAATTTAGTTTCGGATATAGCAGTACTGGTAAAAAATTAACAGACAATCAATACGAAGATTATGGACTTCAATTTGGAAAGGATGACATTATTGGTTGTTATTTCGATGCAACATCCGAAAATATTCTACTTTCTTATACTGTTAATGGAAAAGATCAAGGAATAGCATTTAGTATTTCTAAAGAAGAACTCGGTGACAAACCATTATTTCCACATATTTTGAGTAAAAATTGTAGTTTTGCATGTAATTTTGGCCAAGAAACACCATGGACAGAAGAAATTTTACAAGATTATGTTTCAATCGGAAATGTAGAATCACAATATAAAATTTCTGGACCACGAAGGCCAGAGAAAAAAGATGAATGTGAAGTAATAATGATGTGCGGACTACCCGCTTGTGGAAAAACAACCTGGGCAACAAAATATGCAACTGAGCATCCTCAAAAGATGTATAATATCTTAGGACTCAGCAGTCTAATTA